TATCATAAGAGTGCTGCTTGCTTAAGATCATAGAGTCTCTGCATCAACTCATACACAAGATTATCACAGTCTTTACAGAATTCTATGAGTTGATTCATATATATTCATTTATCAGTAGACAGTTGAGTGTTCAGAAAAGTGATCACTATATCAATCTGCAGAATATATCATTCTCAGAATGCTGAGATCATCATAAGAGCTCATGAGATGAATACAGAGATAATGAGTGTAAAGATTCTTGAGTAATTGACTCTCTTCTATTGAAGATTTTCACAGATAACTCAGTGAGTCTTATAACAGATAACATCACTTATATTGTTGAACTTTTTATTAAATACTTATTGACTGTGAAGAACACTCATTTATAATGTTCTCTCAATCAGTTATCAGACTTCTATCTGTTTCAAACAGTTGATCTCTTTAATACAGGCCTTGTAATAATACTTTCATTTCATGAAAGCTTTGACATGTGTGAGGTTTTTCAGAATTGAAAGTGCAGTGATCTCAGAATCAGTGAGTAGATCTTCAAGACTGTTTCTCACTGAAGCTTCTCTCACTGTAATGATATCTCTTATAGATGTTGAAGAATCATCTGATTCAACTGTGAGTTCTAAGAAGTTCAGTGTATTCTGCACTAAAAAGATAGATATTCTCACAGAGATATCATAGTCAATTCATCAATTATTAGTGAGTATGAGAAATAATGAACACTCAGATTGAATTTTCTCATCAATGAACAGATCAGAAATTACTGCAGTCTCTTGACAGACTGCAGTGAGTAGATCTGATGTCATCAAAGAAATCACTGCAGTCACTTTACAGATCACATTGAATAGAATCTTCAGATTGTGTGTTATAGTTGATATTAATGAATTGACAAGATAAAGATTCTTCTGAAAGATGATGTCTTTTGATATATATAAACATCTGTTGAAGAGGTTCACTAATCTATAATTAATAAAACTATCATATCTCATAAAAATCAACTCTTTGAAACAGGAAGCTATCTTATTGATGAGCTTGAGAACTATCTTCAAGAATGCTTTGTAACCTCATCAGTGAATACTGTGTGCAGAAGATAGAGCTTCAAGTCAGACCTCATATAATGTAATTGACTTTGTACTTTCAGAGCTCTTATACAATATTGTTGAGGTTGACATAAGGTTAAGCAGCTCTGTAGCTACAATAACTGCCTTATTTCACATCTTTTTCAGAGCTGAAGAGTCTATTAATAGTGATTGAGACTTCTCAATAATTAAATCAATTAATTATTCAGATACTTCATCTTACTATGAAGTATGAGAGAGAGTCAGCTCTTATTTTATATCTTCACTGAGTATATATACTGTGACTGCATTTGAATTCAATTCTTCACAATCTGAGTGAATAATTGCAATGTCACATTCTAGCAGATTCTTGATAAATTGATTGAAGATCTGTAGATATCTCAATATCTCATTCTTGCATTTCAATAGAAATATTCATCTTATATAGATAGCATCATCTATTATCATCATTGCAAGCTTCTTGTCAGTGTAAGATAATATATCATTTTCAGTTTCAAGAGTCTCATCATCACTGAAGATATTCACTTAAATCTTCAAGGTCTTGCAGGTGGCATGATGTGATGTGAAATTCTTGTAGAAAGCATGTTTCTGTTTAGACTTAATACATGTGACACAGAATGATAATTTCTTCAGACTGATAATAATAATATTAAATCGCGGGTCTCTGATCATTTTTAATATACTATTTTCACTGATATGATCAAGTTGATGATGTCACTCATCTATCAGAAGCTGTTTCAGAAGAACTGCAGATAATTGAGATAAAGATGAGATAATAAAGAAATCAGTATCTGAATTCTTAGAGTTGATTAACTGTTCAATCTTCTTACAGCTGAAAGACCTCAAAGATTCAGTATTCAGATTGTAATCTGTTGAGATTGTCTTTGATTTTGAAATAATCACATATACTACTGCTTCATACATTGAGTCATTCATTATTTCATGAAATGTCAGTGAGCTGTTGAATAGAATGTAAATATTATTGTGAAACAGATTGATGTAGAAGATATCACTATTGATAGATGATAAAAACTCAAAGTAGTTCTCAGTATTAACTTGTATATCATGATGAATATAGCTCTGACATTTCATCAGCTCAGTGAAGATCAGATTTGCAGATAGCTCTGATATATAGTATATATGATTGAATTCTATCAATCTTTCACTTACTGAGATGAATGCAGTGCTGATACTCTGAATCTTTATAATAGTCTTATTAGTCACTTGAACTGTTGAATCATTGATTGCTATAAGTTTTGAAAATTATAATCTATCACTCACTATGTGGCATCCGGTGCCACTATCTCATATAGTGAGAGAATTCTTATGAGATTTCACAAAACAGACTGATACATTGATAATCTCTGCAAGGTTTATCATCTGATAGATATCTGATTTATCTGTAATAAATAGTTAAGTTCTATCTTCACTATTGTTCTTTTTCTTCTTTTTCTTGAATTTCTTTATTCTCACAGCATTGTTTATTCTTCAATTATCTGAAGCACTGTCTGAATTGACTAATTAACAGGTGTCAAAGTGAGATCTCTCACAATCAGAATATGTAGATGAATTTTTCAATCTCTGATAGTTTTAAAAGCTTTCTTGTATACTGCTATGATCACATTCAGTACAGTCTTCATGAGCCGGATTCAATGTATTATTGTTTGAATTAATAGATGTAGTGATCATTGTATCTGTTGTAGCTGTCATAGCTGTGTTAACTGCAGAATCTATATTCTACAGATTCTTTTTATCTTTTGAAGAATTAAGTTATAAACAGATCTTCTTTATGAGAAGATCAACATTCAATATCATAGTTATAAATTTGAAATTCTGTATCTTCTCTATCTTCTTCTGAACATAATTTCTTCAATTGTTAAGTAGAACTGAGTAGAAGATATCAAATATTCATGCATCTGAGAGAGAAGCATTCAACATCTTCAATTTCATGATAATGAACTGAAACTTATCAAAGAATGTGTGTAGATTGATGATCTGTGTATTATTAAAAGATATGAATTTCAGAACTATCTCACAGTGTAACTATGTTTTAAGAACAGAGTATTTCTGTTCAATTACATTTCATAGAGTATAAGCAATCTGATTTTTATTATATTTGAAGAAATGTAATCTGACATCTACACTCAAGAAGTTTGAGATGAATGTGTAGAGTCACTGATTTCTGATATCTCAGAATAATACTCATTCATCATCTCTTTATAGAGAATTCTGAGTCTGTCATTTCTCTATCATATATTAACACTGTGCATCAATCAGTTTCAATTTCATGAAGATACTTTATGTGATGTAATTGAATATATCAGTCAGACTATTTGATCTCACAGTATTCTTAATATCTTTCTTAAATTAAGAGATTGTCTTATCAACACAGCTATTCAGTTCATAAAGATTGAATTTCAACCTTTCACTGAGATTAGAATTTCATATAACTGTTAATATAATGACAGAATGATTATTAACATTCTGAGATCAATCTGTAGAGAATCTCTGTTAATAAAGTTTTTTCAGTTGTAGTTTGAGTTCTAAGACTCTTTGCTTTCTCTTGTTCATCTCAAGTATTATCTTGAGATACTTTATTTGTTAATCTGATATTACCTCATCTGAACAGTAGATATCTGAGTGTTCAATATTCTTATCAAGAGAATCAGCTTTATTAAGCTGTTGAGTAGATTGAGAGGCCGGTCTGACTGTGTCAGAAGCTGTATTCAAATCAGCTTTGAATTAAGAGAGTGTTGCAGAGTGTTCTTCAATAAAGCTTTCAAAGGCTTCAGAAGAATGTTCACTGACAGAGTATAAGTATGAAGAATTATCATCATCAACTACAACTGATTCAGTGAAAAGAATGTAAGATTATGAATATATGTATAAGTGTGATTGTATTGAATTCATCATCTTAATATTTGTTTATTAAATTCTTGTCAATATCATTCTCTTTTTTTCTTACTTTTTTACAAATATAGTGTGTTTTCTGCAAGTCTCTTTTTTAAGTGAGCAGTAGTATTATTGATCATCAAGATCTCAAACACATTAATACTAATAGAATAAGATGATTTTAACTCCTGATAGATGTATTGAATGAAGCAGTAGTTCAATAATGATTATATTGACAAGAAATTCTGAATTGGCAGTGATTTTGTGCAAAATGAGTCTCATAACCTGTGAGAGATGTAAAGCTTGTGTGATTGAAAGGTTGCTAGCTTTGTGGGAAGTTATATGGTGGAAGGATTAGTAAGCCAGATCACGTGACCTGACATATTTACTATAACTCTCAAGCTTATTGATTCTGTCATTGTTCACTTTTCCACGAATTGTAATTAACTTGGCGCATCAATGAATCAAAGAGCAACGGAATGAATGTAATGTGGCACATGGAATATTTTTCGACTACATTTATCTAGAACAAAATAAAGAAAATGCTAGAATGGCTCTAAGATGGAACCAACCAGAATGTTACTACGTAGGCAGAACAAATTCCATCCTTCGAGAATACCGCCTAGCCAACAACCAGAAGCCCGCTAGAAGCTGAAAACCCGCAGAACAGAAGAGAAGATCCAACCAACCAACCTCATCACTCGCAGCAGGGTGCTGTACTCCGTATATAATGCGCTGTTCATGGCCTCCTCCCCCCCCAACAATCGCCACCTTGGGAGAGTTGCCACAGTGATCGTCCCGGGTTGGTTGGTTCAGATATTAAGATATAACCTAGCTAGCTCCGAGATTAATGAGAAATCAACCATCCCCACACTCTGGTTGCTCACCTTCTCCTCTGGCCTTTGGGATCGCCCACTTCCTCGCCTAGAATACCATGGCAATGGTCAAAGGAGTGCTAGAACCGACTTTTTACTGGCAAAGAAGGAGTTTAGCTCTTTGTAGTTGAGGTGTGTACGGAGTAGAGGGATATTCATGCGTCTTTTTGCCGACCGATTTATTTATTGGTCTTGGGCAAGAAGATCCGAGGATTGCGATTGGATTTCCCCCTGTCCGCCCCCCCCCCCCCCGTCGCGAATTCTTGCTGATTCTGCTAGTAGTAAGTTATGGGAGGTTTGGGAGTTTAAAGTGTTTCGATTTCTGTGTGGCGGCCCGCGGATTCCGATCGATTGTAGGTCCCAAGAGGAAGTAATCTGTATTTGATTGATTATTTAATGGTGTATTATAGGGTATTTAAATAGCTCTTGGTATAAATACCCCCATCTGTGTCAGTGTCAGTGTCGAGGAACAGGACTGTCTATACGGAGTACTATATATTGGTAGTTAGATATTTAGTTTAAATATCCTCGACTCGCCGCTATGGATATTTTAGTTGCTACAGACAACAGTTATTCATTTCGGCTGAAGTTGACTTGACGACCGCGACAACAACGGAACCTCCTGTAGACACATTAATAATTGCCGCTCCAATTCCTCCCTCTCCATGACAATTCTATTCTAAACAACCGCCTCTTCCAGCGAGCTGACCCCGACCCTCTCATCATATCATCTAGGGAAGAAGAATAACTACAGAACAAAATCCACTTCGCCTCCCCCCTCAAACGCTAAATCCCTAGACTAGACTCCTACTACGTACGTCACGCTGAGCCCAACCGAACCTCCCGTCGTCCTCACCTCTTCTACTTCGCAATCAGCCAAAAAAGAGTCACCGTCTTATCCTCGTTCCCCATGTTATCTAGCCCCTGAGCTCCTGTTGCGGACAACGGAAGGAAAGGGAAAAAATACTATCACCCGCTTACATACCACTATATATCCTCTCTCCTCCGCGCCCCGGAACAGACCCCCCTGCTCCGCTCAATCACACCCCCCTCGAGGAGCAACCAACTGCTGCAACTGTCTTTAAGAAACCTTAAAATAAATCCCGCATGCGGGGAAAATACTGCAACCGGAAAACGCGCGACAAAGCCAAGACGAGACGAGACGAGTTACCGGCTAACTTTCGATCTCGTTCTATTTTACTCTCCAAAGTTCCAATATAAACAAACTAACCATTGTTAATAACTAAAATAAAGAATCTCTCCAGAAGGGAGAAACAACAGCGCAGGAAAGAGCCCCCTAGCGCGTGACCCGCATACCTCGCAAGGCGGGTTGAGGACAGGAACAGGAAGGATATCGTGATATACAAACAATAAACACCCAAGGGGGGGGGGTTGCGAGTGAGGGATAGAAACGTCCTTGCAAGATTCCTCCTGCGCTGACAGGTGGGATATGATATTGGGCAAAACAGAGGAGGGTGGATTCGTTTTCTCGCCTCCAGGAGTTACTCATTGGGATATCAGGAGAGAGCCAAAAACGCTGGAACGGGCTTCCATTGCCCATTCGATTCCTTTTTTCTTTTTTAAAATCCCGCACTATGCGCAGTGGACGGTGACTGAATCGTCAGAAAGGAAAAGAGAAAGACGAGAAAAGGAAACCACGAGAAACAGAGGCTTGATGCTTATGTGATCTGTCCGAGCTCACGGCAAACACTCCCCAACCCGCACCCCGCCGCGCGCAATGCATCGTAATGGCGGTCAGGGGCAGAGAGCGAGACGGGGTCAGAGTTCGGAGGCACAGCGGAAGAGTTCGTTTCATGTTATTGTGCTGGTGAGTTAGCCTGGTTTTTTTTTTATTTATTTTGTTCTATTCTATTTACTTACTTTATTTTACTTTACTTTATTTTATTTTGTCTTTTGTCTTTTGTCTGGTCTGCGCGGAGACAATAATGCACTCTGGTGAATTTGTTTTGATATTTCTTCGTTGTAAGGAAAACCACCCTTTATCAATTCCAGTTTCAACTGTTGAACTTACTGCTGTTCGTTCACCCTCTCACACCTCCTATTCTGTTTTTCTCTTACCTGGCTGAGTATGTGGTTTATCTTCATTCCCCTTCAATTAGTTTTCTTTGGCCGATACATATTACATAGAACGACACTGATTGTATCCCGGCATGTAGGGTTCCTCAGGCGGGCCACGAGAAGACATTGTTTCAGCACTACTAGTTCGTTCGACAGCTACAAACTGGTCGGCAGGCTCTGTTATAGCCATAGATGCAGGAACGCTTTTAGGAGGAATCATTCGAGCTCTAGAGAATTCCAGCTCCGCCAAAGATGAGAAATCGACAGATGTTAAATTACGCATGACTGAGGGACCTTTTGCAGGGCTTGAACTTCCAAATACTACCACCGGAGCCAATGCAGCCTATATCTTCCGCGAAATCATTTCATCCGTATTTATCACGCATCCTCATCTGGACCATCTCGCCGGTCTAGCCATGAATACCCCATTGGTGGAAGCCCAGTCAAATCCCAAAATTGTCGCTGCCCTCCCGCCAACTATTGCTGCGATCAAGAATCACATTTTTAATGACATTACGTGGCCGAACCTGTCTGATGAAGATGGTGGGGCCGGTCTGATCACTTACCATCGGCTAGTTGATGGAGGGAATCCCAGACTGGGTCGTGCGGAGGGTCGTGGCTATATTAGGGCATGCGAGGGGATACTTGCTAAATGTTTAAGTGTTAGCCATGGACGTTGTGCGCAGCGGTATCATCCAGAAACGGGCCAATATCATCGAGCTGAAAGTACAGTATTCACTACGGAGTCTGGATGCCTTCCTTCGAGGAGAGTCTCGATAGACACGCAGGATCTGGCGTAAGTTTTCCAGTCTCATTCGGGCCGGAGTAAAGGACATGACAACATGCTAAAATAAAATCATCTCTTTCTAGTCGATCATACACTCCCAATCATCAAGCGCCGTGTGCGGTTAGCTCTAGCGGTAAAGCCAGCTCTCTGGCAAGCGTAGAAAGCTCAGCCTTCTTCCTCCGCGACGACTATTCGGGAGCAGAAATCATCGTCTTCGGCGACATTGAACCGGACAGCATATCCCTCGATCCCCGAAATGAGAAAGTATGGGAAATCGCCGCCCCCAAGGTCGCCAACGGCTCCCTCCGCGCCATCTTCATCGAATGCTCCTACATGGACTGCGTCGAAGACAGTTCTCTATACGGTCATCTATGCCCACGCCATCTCATCGCTGAACTCCAAGTCCTCGCTGCCAAAGTATCGAGAGCCACAGACCCCGAATTCAGCGACACGGCTTCACGAAAGCGCAAGCACGCTACCGCCTCCGACCCGATATTGAATGAACCTACCAGCCCTAAAAGCACCCCGCCCCGATCACAAAGTCGACGGACAAGCTCCTCATCCCGCTCTAGGTGGCGAACCACTCGCTTTTCCGGCTCCCGTCATCATGCACCCGCTGAAGCAGTGAAACCAGACGATGCACAGCCTACCACACCACCCGGATCCGGCACCCCGATGGGCGACGACGACGACGATGATGACCACGATGACCATGCTTACGACGAGAATGGCTATGATGCTAATGATGAAGTTGGCGTAGAGAAGAGCAGAGATACGCCAGAGATAAGCTCACACCACAAACCTGCGAAGCGCACGAGATCCGCCATGGACAGAGGTCGGAAACCGCTAGCCGGGCTGCGGGTTTATATCATCCATGTTAAGGATTCGCTTACTGATGGTCTATCGCCGCGGGAGGTGATACTGGATGAGCTGCGGGCGCATAATGAGGATGCCGCGTTGGGTTGTGAGTTTTATGCGCCGTTGTCTGGGGAGGAGGTTTTTATTTGATTTTCTTTTGGGGGTCATTTTAGGTTGTTTGAATTTTTTGGTGACTGTTTTGGGGGTTCTTTTCAGGGGTTCGTTTTTTTCCGTCCCTTTTATGTCCTTTGTTTGAAAAAGAGACAAAGACCTGCGCTCGGTTTATAAAATTTGAGAGAGAATTGGATGGACTATTTGGGTTACGTTTTGATTCTACATGCAAACAATCCTTTTGTTGTCAGTTGACTTGGATATATCCCCAGCAGCGCATGGGTCGTTCTTTTTCTTTTTCTTTTTCTTTTTTTTCTTTTTTTTCTTTTTTTTTTTTCGTTATGCCTTTTCTTCCCTCTAGTTTCAGGGGAACAGGAAACTCTCGGATTTTGATGTTCCTTTATGATGTTGGCTAATGTGTCTCCGATTTTAACGCCCAGGATATGAAATGGATATTTTTCTTGTTTGTTTCTATTTTCTTAGAGAGGGCAAAGTTTGACCCTGTGGGCTAACCACCGATATGGACTCTGTGTATTTGATGATCACAGGCTTTCTTGCCCGGGGGCTCCTTTTTATACTTGCTTTCTCCATTATTCTTTTTGATAACGTCGGCCCATTGGTGCGAATCGGGATAGCACTTTTTGGCAGTTAGTTGTTCCCTTTTTGGGACATTTCCCGCCCTATCTGTATTTTTAGAGTGCCTGCATACTCATCCCCCAAATTTCATCTCATGGGAACTAAGCAAAATGGGAAAGGAAAGCAATTGCTATTAACATACTATTTAACTTTGGGTTTATTACTGTACATTTAAAACTGGGCGACGACCATATCTATACAATCCCCCTTGAATAACATACACACACACACACACACACACACACACCCCGTCAGCCAAACTCCACGTAGCAACACGAAGGATAGCTAAGACCATAGCTAATTAAGAGCAGGCGAAGCGGCCTCCTGTCCCCCAGAGCCACGAGCGACCTCAATGACATCAACCCACTTCCCACCTTTCTCAACATCCGGAACCTTTACAACACCCTTGCTTCCAGCCGCCGTCTCAGCAGCAGCAGCAGCAGCAGCAGCAGCAGCGTCGCCACCACCCTCAGCACTCAACACAGACATTCCCTCCCCATCCCTCGCCCACTCAATCAGCATCTCCTCACTCCCCCACTCGCCCATCCCCATAAGACCCACAGGAACACCGGGTCCCTCAACCAGGCCCATGGGCCTCGAAAGAGCCGGACAGCCCGTAAAGTTCGCGAGGAACACATACTCCATCGCGCGCAGGCTGGAGTTCTCATCGCTAACGCCCGACACGAGGTCCGCGTCGCCCTTGGATATTTTCCAGCCGGGCATCGGGGTCGTGGGCGTCGCGATGATCAGGCCCGGGTGTTTCTGGTACAGATGCGCGAGGTGGGACATGAGGAGGTTGCGCATGCGTTGGGCGGCGAGGAAGTCGCGGGCGGCCGCCTGGTTGCTGCCGATGGAGACGAGGACTTTGTTCTGGGGGGTTAGTTGGCGGATTTGCTCGGGGGTGATTGTTGAGGAGATCTCGGCGAGGATGGTGAGGGCGTGGGCTTTTTGGCCTTCGGGGAGGAAGGGGATGGAGATGTCGAGGACAGTGTAGTTTTGGTGGTCGCGGTAGTAGTCGATGGCGTTGTTGAAGAGGCTGAGGACGGCTGGGTCGGCGCGGTTGACCCAGTCGCGGAAAATGCCGATTACCTTGGGCCGGGAGGCTAGGGTGTCGCTGGATGGGATGGTGGAGAGGGGATCTGGGAAGGAGGAAGATGGCATTGATTCCGGATCGGGGCTAGCCATGATTCGGTACGATAATGCTAAGTCGTCGAGGCTGGAGGTCATCGTTCCGAAAACGCCGGTGGTCGTGGCTATTCCACACGTCGGGTGTCCAGAGACTCGGCCATGGGAGGTTTTAATGCCATAGATGCCGCAGAAGCCAGCCGGGACACGGACTGAGCCACCACCGTCGGCTCCCAGGGCAATGGGTACCAGGCCAGCGCCAACAACATATCCAGAGCCTCCTGAAGAGCCGCCGGTATAGTAGTCTTTGTTGTGGGGATTTCTCGGGGTCCCTGTAAAGGGATTGTTGTTCGTGGTGCCTAGAAAAGAATTAATCAGTCAGTTTCGGGATTGGCAGGAAAGCGGTCAAACGGCGATATCACAGATAAATCTAGCAAAATTAAGAATTGGAAATATAAGGGGAAATGTATATCTTACCAAGACCCAATTCATGCATGCTAGTCTTCCCGACAACAATTGCCCCGGCCTCCTCCCACTTCTTAACACACCACGCCGTCCGGTTCGTCTTCCCCGTGAAATCTAACCGACTCCCTAACGTCCGCTTGTAGCCCTCGAGGTCTACTTCATCCTTAACTGCGACAGGCACCCCATCCAAGGGACCTAACGGCTTCCCAGTCTTGTACCGCTCCGTCGAGGCTGCAGCCGCAGCACGGATGATATCAATCTTAGACTCAAGGAAGGCAAGAGAATGCTCGCCGGGCGGGTTCACATCACGGCGAATGAGAGGAAAAAGCGCTTCCACGACCGCCGTGGGTGTCAGGTCGCCGGACAGATACAGCGCATGGTAGTCGGCTGAGGTGTAGTAGCCCTGGCCATCTCGCTTCTGGGTTGGCAGGGGAAGGCTCGATTGATGGGCTGTAGAAGAATCCGCGATAGGGGTGACGGTAGGGTCATATCGGGGTGGGTAGTCTTTCAGGGCGGGGAGTTCGCGCACGATGTTGAAACCTGCATTGCGCCAGAGATAAGCTTGGAGGGCATTTGAGGAGCAGACCCTATCCAAGGAAAAATGAACTTTAGAATTAGCTTTATTTTTTTTTTTTTATTTTTTTTTTTTTTTAAGAACACGAGAGGAAAAGGGGAGATAGGCATAATTATTAGAGAGTCGGGAATTACTAACAATGAGGCGCCTAGCTCCAGCAAGCGGCCCCGGAGTATGGGGTTCGACGCCGGGGGATACTTCAAGGGGACGTCGGGCCCTTCGCGGGGAATGGGGTAATCGTGGAATCGATGGGATGTTTCCGATGTTCCAGCCATGTTTGTAGAGCTATTTAGTAACTAACTATGTTTCTCTGCCTAGTGAGTGGGTGAGGAGGGACTAGTAGTACTGTACGGAGTATACGGAGTAACTACTGGAAAATGTGTCTCCCGTCGGCCGTTGCTCTTATATAACTACGCAATAATAGATGTTGTTCTGTGGTTGGTTCTGCCGAGGTTCCCCTGAAGCGGGCCAGACCAGGCTAGTTGAAAGACGCTGATTGGTTGATAATAACCTCAAGGGATGCGCCGCCGCCACCTAGTATGATGGCATAAAATGCGATGAGGCAACTGACGTTCACTACTTTTTGTTTATGGAGTGGGGAAATAAATATAGGGGTATTGCTCGTAAATAGTGGTTTGTAGAGTAGACGTTAGAGATAATTGACGGCTTGAACGATAGTTAACAAACCAAATAATTATGATAACCTATATCGCGTATTATACAATTGAAATAAACCGACTATCCCAAAATTATTACTCTGCTTCATAATTTCAACTTCAAATTCCATTTGTCCATGGCCAGCGCCGCGCCCGTTAAGACAATAGCATATCCAACCAATACAGCCATTGCAGTACTCTTGTCCGCATCCAAAGTATTCATCCCCATATTAACCGCGCCAGTAAGGAGATTTGCAATCAAGAAAATCGCTAAACCATTGCCGTTGAACGCACGCATGATCCTGCTTGTCGCAAACCGACTTCGCTCCTCCTCGCTCGCCTTGTCAGTCGCCTTGTACACTGACGGGAAGAATAACGTCTCAACAAGGCAGAAAAGGAAGAGCTGCGAGTTGTTGAATGCCGCTACCCAAAAGACATATGGTAAATTTGCCAGCCGACGCGAAACGGGTATGCCTCCGCCATACCCAAACATGTGGAGGGAATTGAAGGAGAATAATGCAGTCCAGATAATGGACCAGATTGCCTGGCGGATAAGTAGGGACTTTCGTGCTTGGTAAGGCGTCTTGGAGGGGGAGGAGGAGGTTTCTCGGGGCATCACTCTTAAACCCGTAGCGCGTCCGGCGAGGAAGATTGCTAGGTAACCCAAAAGTGAAAATACCCCCTCGCGGTTCTTCGAAAGAAGAGACGGACCTCGAGGCGATACTAGAATGTACTTTTTTAGATCCGTCGACTCGAGCGTAACTTGATATGCAATGGCAACCAGTATAGATAGCGCCTCGTAGGACGGAATAATTGCCGTTAACGAATGGAAAATCTCCACGAAGGGACCCAAGAACGCCAGCGTGAAGAAAAAATTCCAATGAACGCCATATTCCGTCACATGTTCTGCATAATCTAGCCCCTTTACGCTGTAGAGTCGGATCATGCCAAGGACAAAGAGCGGGATAGTGTGGCGGGCCGAACCGAGGAGCCTTTTGGGCAGTGATCCACTACTGCACGAGGATGCACTCTGGCTCTTGAGGATGGACCGAGTCGATACCACACCCCCGGAGAAGACAAACGATCCAACACCCAGGTCCATAAGCGAGGTGCCCCAGTTTTCTACTTTGGCAAATCGCCGGGGGAAGATGCCGAAGTCGACAGCAAGGATGGCCATGCATGTTGCTATCATCATGGCGCCGCGGTATGTGGTGAGGAACGGGCGGATTGGAACGAGATCTAGTGTATTTGAAGCCGTTTTCGGATCTTTCCCAGCATTTTCTGAAGGCTTTAAGGATGTAGGTGGGGGTTTGGCTTTTTGCGCCGGTTGGCTTCGTTTTGGGCCCAAGAGTAATAAAATCGCGGGTGAGATGAGGAGGACGTTGAGGATGAGGGGATTGGACGAATAAAGAGTTGAGGCAAAGAGGATTGCCGCGACATTGAGGAGGAAGTCCACGATTAATGATGCGGGTAAATAGGGGGTGAAGAAAGATTTGCGGGATTGGAGAGAGGACCAGAGGAGCACTGCGGCCTAGGTAAGAACGGTTGAATGTTAGCTCTTCAATTTTGGATAGTCAAGAGCAAAATCTCATTCACAATCTCTAGCTTACCGGTGCAACGAGCGTTACGGCATTAATATCTAATATACTGCCGCCGGATAGGTTAGACACGAAGGCCTCCTTTCGGTCCTTGTAGGACTGTGGTGCCTGCGGCATTGTTGTCCCCTCGTTGGAAATGTGAATCACCTTGTCGGTGTCATGTGTAATCAAAATTGAAATGGCATTGTATAGCTTGTGGCACACAGCTCACAGTTATATAGAGCGCTTGCGGTAGAAGGACATGTATGCTGTTGTCAGAAAATGCCACGTTATCGTTGTTGATATCTATAAAAGGACACGATGTTGAAAACGCGCGGATAACTTTTTTTTGGCGCTGACATCAATGCCAAGACATCGCGGCTAAACATCTAATAACAAGGGGGTTTTCAAGAATAACTTTACATTAGGTTACTTTTTGCAAATTTCTTGCCTGTGCTCTAGATTGGGATATATATATAACCCGACCGCGGTGCAAGGACAGCTTCAGCAAAATTTGTACTATACATACATACAAATCCCCATCTCAGAAGATATATGGCGATGTAGACGGCCGGCGAGTTCCTGAAGCTGTCCAAACTGGCCGCGAATGCCAGTTCGCTTCGTCGCTCTGTGGGCAGTGATTTGCTAGTCGAGGGATGATCTCAATAATCCTTGACAATAATGAGTCTGAGGGGGAGAGGGGTAGCGCGCCTGCATTCAGATATCTACCCGATATCCCCAACTCTTATAAGGAGCTACCTCGAACCCTTTATACCCTTCTTTCCACTACCAGATGAACAAAAAGGAAACGTCCAGTTAAAAGCGAGAAAAGGTGTGAAGAAAATAAACCCAGCGAAATGCCTGAACAATCTCCTCAACGTTTCATAACCACACATGATGCCTCAGGTGCCTCAGTCTTCGATGCTTCCATCCCCACCACTGTCCCGGATGCGGAATACCCAGGCGGTCTGAGCATTTTCAAGCCCAATATGCAACCGAAGGCTTTCCCACATCCCTCTGCGCAAACACCGATCTCCAAATCTACAGCAACCGCCTCGCCAACCCAGGAGGGATCGTTATTAACAACGGTACGGTCATGCGAACCATAGTTACCAAACCGGGCGCGCAGTCTCACATGCATCGTACATTGAACGTTGATACCGGAATGGTAATTGAGGGGAGCCTTGAACTATTGCTAGACTCGGGCGAGTCCAGGGTCTTGAGAAAGGGGGATGTCTTCGTGCAGAGGGCGACGATGCATAGGTTGAAGAACATGAGCTCGACGGAACCCGTTACCATGGTGGTTTTTATCCAGCCATGCGCCCTGTTGGAAGCAAAGGATCTCACGGCTGCATCGTCGATGTCGTCAATGGCTTCTGCAGCAGCCGCTGACAAGGCTGGGGCTCCGAAGAAAGTTTGAAGTTGTGATAAAGGTGGGAAATGCTCTGTTGATCTGGTGGTTTGGTTGATTTGGGCCTTTTCTTTGAGACAGAAAGGGTAAGGCCTGAAGCTGTTCGCCCATGACACCTTTAACCTTCACTGGAGACTTCTATGGTTGAGCTGTTCTTGGTGCGCGCGCGTGTTTATCACAAGGACGGTTGCTTTGTGAAAATAAATATAATTGAGGTAAGTTCGTTTGGTTTTATATATTGCTATTTTCTACCTTCTCTCTCTTTCTAACGTCATTAGGATCTCCTATAAAAATTTGAAAGGAGTGATCCATGGATGCGGCTATCAATATAAAGTTTCCCCCGGCCCCTTTTCCCCGATCCACTATTCCTTCGTATCCCTATGACCAGATGAGCTAATGCATCACGCACCAGAATGCGGGTCAACGAAACACCCGTTAGGAGTCCATAATGTGTTCCTGGACCCCAATAGAGCCGATAAACTTTTAAAAGTAATATAATGTGATGAGCATCGCGATCGAAGCAGAAGAAAACTCGCCGGGTTTAGGATGCCCCGCGGAAAGAGCAGCAGGATGATGGGAGAGGGACTCCAAATCATATTTCATTCACGCTGTGTCCCTGGAGATGTAAAAATATACGTGGAAAAGGAGAGAAATAAATTATAAGTCACCGAAAAGGGGTTGGGTGGTTGCTACCGTTTTTGATAACAGTCCTACCGGGCACTTGTTGCATATAGATTGATATAGATACCTGTTTACGCATATATTCGCTGATAGCCTGGAAATAATTTGGCAAGGGAAGCTTTTTGTTTTGATCCCATCGGCCCGGAGATGAAAATTTAAAATGTTTTGTTTTCTTGTCTCTTCTACCACAGACGTATTTACACACATATAATCTGTATATATATTTACAAACATGAAACCTCCATCCAAATGGCGCCCTATTGCGTTCTTCAATTTTTTAATTTTTAATTTTTAATTTTTGTTTTCCCTTTGTCTCTTGTCTTTTTTTTTTCTCATGCGTTAATTATTTATTGCGTATACTGCTTCTGCAGCATCTTCGCAATTGTCTGAAGCTGGATATTGCTCGTTCCCTCGTAGATAGCTCCAATCTTGGAATCTCTGAACATCTTCTCAGCAATGCCTTCACGGACAAAGCCCATGCCGCCCATCCACTCGACCGCGGAGCCCGCGACGCGCCCAGCAACCTGCGACGCGTAGAGTTTGGCCATAGCGGCGTCTTGCACGAAGTCTTGGCCGGCTTCCTTCTTGCGAGCGGCGTTGTAGACGAGAGCACGGGCAGCGGCAATCTCAGTATACGCCTGTGCGACTTGGTGTTGCATGCCTTGGAATTCACCGATCAGCTGGCCGAATTGGCGGCGGTCGTTCCAGATATACCTATTTTTTCATAGTCAGTTATTTGGTTCATTTAATTACCCTCCCAGGAGATTGATAGGTGGCTAAGACTCTGAAACAGAAAATAAAGAAAGACGTGAAAACGTACTTGGCAGCGTTCTCCCAGGCGCCGAGGGCGAGACCAGTCATTTGAGCTGCGATACCAATTCGCCCCTCGTTCAGAAGGTTAATGGCATATTTGTAGCCCTGGCCTTCCTCACCCAGGAGATTCTCCTTGGGGATCTCCACATCATCAAAGTTGAGGACACAGGTGCTGCTGGCGCGGATGCCGAGCTTCTTCTCCTTCTTCGCGATGCTGAATCCTGGCGTGCCCTTCTCCACAATAAACGCAGTGATTCCTTTGTATCCCTTGCTAAGGTCAATATTGGCGAACACAATGAAGAATCCAGCCTCCATGGAGTTGGTGATCCACATTTTTGAGCCATTGATCTTATATCCAGACTCGGTTTTTACGGCCTTGGTTTGCAGGGCGAAAGCATCGGATCCAGAGACGGGCTCGGACAAGCAAAATGATCCAACGGTATTCGTGGCAAGCTTTGGTAGCCACTTTCTCTTCCCCTCTGCATCGGCAAATTTGAGAACGGCGGTGTTCACGAGTGTGTTATGGACGTCACACATAACACTGACACTGGGGTCGACACGGGCCAGTTCCTCAATTCCAACAATGGCGGCCGTGAAGTTCATGCCGGCTCCGCCATATTCTTCCGGGATTTCCACACCCATCAATCCCTGTTCAAAGAGCTGCTCGACAATGGCGGGGTCCATGGTTTCGGCTTCGTCCATTTCGCGGACCTTGGGTCCAATCTGTTCTTGGGAGAACTTGGCTACGGATTCAGCCATCATGGCCTCGGTCTCGGATAAGTGAGTGATAGGAGTAGGGGTGAGAGAAGTAAGGTCGACATCGCGGCGGCGGGGAGTTGCAGAGAACGAGCGGGTGCTGCAAGATATTTCCAAAAGATATTAGGGTCCATTGGGCTGGATATACATATGATTTCTACCAGAGGATAAATGAAAAAGATTGAATTCTCCATCTTCTCCTTTTGGATTTGAGGGACAAGTAGGTATCATACCATTGAAAAGTCCTTGAGGGCACAGTCTTTCGCGCTGTGGGAAGAAGCGAAGCGATAGGCCTTTTAGCGAGCGGCCGCAGAGCTCGGGCAACTGACGCCATAGTAACGGTAATATCGACAGGGCACCCTCGTTTAGCAAATGTGAACAGCAGAGAAAGGCAATGAGAAGCAGCTCGTGGTAGGAAATCCAGTCCGGTATAGAAATTTACAAGAGAAGAAGTGTTGAACGTTGACGTTGAATATTAATTCGATGGTTGGCCCCGACACAATTCGGCGTCCAGCTCAGGGCACGTGGAGCAGCGGCTAAACCTCGGCTATTTGCGGTGGGAGATGTCACATGATCTTGATATCCCCAGGCTGCGCCTTTCATATACTATACATCCGCTGTATATTTATATAGAAATCTTGTCAACGCTGAATGATAGACCGCTATCATAGAAGACAGAGCAGTAAAAAGAAGAAGCAAGAGAGAAAGATCAGTTAGATCTGCCGATCTGACCCAAATCCAAGCAAGGTGCTTATATAACAGGTTATGGGGTAACTTAACTATGGGCCTTTGTCAAATCAAAGTGCTAGAGTCCTATCTCTAGACTGCTCATGGCTATCACAATACTGGACATCGATGATTTCCGACGATCGATATCATACCCAGGCAGACAGTGGTAAATCCCCACAAATTCCCAAAGAATGAAGACTTTCCCCGCCATGTTCAGGGGATATTCATATTCTTACTGAGGCTCACCCGACAAAATCCTGTGACATCTAACTCTGCTGGACAGGATGAAATAATGCAACGACATCTGGCACAGGATACATGTTTCACCTTTTGTCTATCCTAGAACTAGGATTTTTATTATCATGGGGGTGCATGGCCTTCAGGATATGATGGAATATCTGGTGGGCGTTGATAGAACTGCGCCTCCCAGGACAACGTCTGATCCATCCCATCAAAGTAACACGGGAGCTGGGCTATGATATTGCGGCAGGGCAAACAGTAAAATTCCCGAATGAACTTTAACAGTTCTCAAGGCTTGATACAAACCTCTGGCCAGGCCACCAGCCACAACCTGTGGCGTTCCAACCTTGCTGGAAGACTTGGGTCGCTGGTGATAGGCGCTGGTGACATCATCCCTAGTCCCTGTCTAGGCTTGTCCGTCCTGTAGCAGGATTCACAATTCTTCGCCAATGATGCCGTGCCAAGCTGTGTTGTCGCCGTGACGGACGCAGGCAGGGCCAAATATAAAACCTGCAGCGCCAATTCTAAAAATTCCTGAGTTGTGCTACTACTACACCTGCCAAGACACGCGGTGACGGCGCGGATGTGGCTGAAGCAGCGAAACCCCTCCCCTCTATATTATTATTATTAAATAAATCCTCTCCCCGCCGCCGAACAAACGACAACCCATCCAACGCTTTTTCCAGGAGATATCCAGCAACCAGGGGAGAAATACCAGGCTTTCTTTCATTGTTGCAATTTGAAAGCGAACCCCTCCTTGTTTCCTTGTGCCGCCTGGTTTCACATACGCCGCGTATACTACTACTCCGTTCTTGCCTTGGCCTCACATTTCTTTTGGTCACCCTCCCCCTCCACCTACCGTGCCACATTTCCAACCCCCTGGCATCATCCCTGCTGACATTTATATACTTAGTCTCCTATCTTCAGTCAGTACGCACCGCGGTCATATAACCATGAATCTCCCCCCAAATTATTCTCTTTTCTAACCTCGTTTTTAATAGATTCAGTCTCTGCAGCGCGTCGCTTGCATACCTTTTGAGAAAATGCCTCGGGGTCCTTACGATCCTCGTTTGTTCTTCAGCATTGACAATATCCAGGCGTTCCACATTCAAGATGGAAATGAGTCGGAGCTCACCCCGTCAGGTCCCCAGACCCTCTCGCTCCTGATGGTCCCGACTTCCTACCCGCCTACGGATCCTGAGCTAGCCTCTCAGCCACCGGAAGAGGACTTTTACCTCCACCTTCACCTCCCACCAGAGTTGGATCTGCCGCTGCCCGCAACGACCCAGATATACCACCAGCCGCCAAACAGTTACCTCATCCCCCGTTGGGACCTAGGCCCAAATGCAGGAGCATTCACGCGGATCCAATTCCCGCAAATTGGTAGTGGCCCAGGCCAGGTGTCCCAGGAAGACGTGGATACCTTCGAAACCATCCTCGCCCAATGTACTGCGTTTCTCGAGCGATCTCCGCCCCCCAAATTTGCCCCATACAACCCTGCCACCTATGCCCCTGGGGAAGGATATGTCGGGACGGGGAACGAAAAGCCGCCTTCAAAGCAGCCTTCGAAGCCGCCTCCGAAGCACCAACCTGGTCAGATCGTCCTCATCGACGAGGAGAACGGGAGCGTCGTTGGTGAGTTGACAGAAGGTTTCAATGTTGTGGAGGATGCGGATGTGAAACACGGTTCGAAGAGTATGTCCCAATATAATAATTATCTACCTATCTCCGCAAGTAGATTTCTAACTCTAACTGATAGATCCGGTCGAAATACAACTCCCCACCGAAGGACAAGGAAACAATATATCGGTCCATAACGTTTCTGACGAGTATCTTCAAACCGCGAGGCACCCCGCCTATGCGAAGTCGACCATTGTTCAAACATCTGCCACAGCCTCCCGGCTCCTGGTTGCGGGTTCCGCATATATTGCTAAGTCTCTACAGTCCGGCGCAAACACCTTCACCCAGAAAACAAAGCCAAATGCGAAGCCCCTGACGTTTACGCCAACGACGCAAGCACGTATGAGGAGGATCAATACATTCTCAGGAAATGCGGCCGGGTTATCATCTAAAACTGTCAGTAAAGTTACCAGGATTGCTCAAAACTTCGGCGCCTCGGTTGCAGGCAAGAAAAGTTCGGATTCAACGCCCAGGGGCTTTGACGAGAACGGCCAACCGATATACCACCACTCCAAGCCCGGAATTTTGAACAAATCCCTAATAGCCTTCTCGACGATCGCAGATGGTATTGACCAAAGTGCCAAACATATTCTCCAATCAGGACCGCTCGCAGCGACTACAATAGTTGGCCACCGCTACGGCCCAGAGGCTGGGAAATTTACAGCGGAGCTGGCTGGCGGTGTTAAGAATGTTGGTCTAGTGTACATCGATGCAGCGGGAGTATCGCGGAAAGCAGTTCTTAAATCTGTCGCAAAGGGAATGGTTGTGGGACGCATGAAGGATGGGCAGCAGATTGTTGTTGGCGGCGGGGACTCTGGACCATTCAGTTCCGGCACCCCTGGGCAGGGTCCCCCTCCGTTCACGAGGTCGAGTTCCAGCCCGGGTTTTTCTGGCCTCACTCCTGGCAACCGTTATCATCCTCGGGGTCCATCCCCGTCGCCTACTCCGCCGCCTGCCTATGGTTCGCAGACTGGGCGATCCCTGGGTGGGAGTACGCTTCGAAATGGCAAGTAGCTAAGCTGGAGTAGTTTTTGCAACAGAAAATGTGTTGGGAGAATAAGGGGCCAACAATCTTTTTTCCTCCTTTTCTTTCGTATTTCGTATTTCGTATTTCTTTTTTCTTTTTCTTTTTTTCCTTCGCTCACTAGATGATTGATAACGGACGCGTTTATGGATTTATTTTGGTTTTTACTCGGGTTTATGACTTTGCGACATTGGCTGCAGGTAACTACCCCATATGGTCTCATTTTGTGCAAAGGCAATGTCTGGGAAATTTTCTATCGGTAACCTTTCTTATAATGTCCCTCGTACATACACTTTCTTTCAATGTTCTTCAGTGTTTATGGCTTCCCTTTCTTTCTCTGACTCGTCATTTCTCCCGTTTTGCCTCCCTTTCTTCTCCCTCTGTAAGTCGACGTGCCACTTCTCTCGGTGGTTTCCCCTTGACTAGTCTATGATTTATGCCTTGCTGCACTGTCTGCTGGGTTCCTAGACCGCTCCCACGGTTCGTGGGTTAATTTATGAAGCAACGATAATTTTATTTCCATTGAATTTTGCGTCGACGGGCGGTGGCGAACGTAACTGAATTAGCATCATGAATAACTGTGACTGGACTTGCCGGTGTCATTTTCATGCATCCTCTCCATAGGTATACAATAGAGCACTTAATCGTAGATATATATATGCACACATAGCTGTCATATTTGGTAACTCAAATTGGTTCCAGAATCGGTCAAATCGCGGTCAGGTTAAGCTTAACTCCAACTTGAGCCGCAACCAACCGTTTGACAACTTTCTTTCGACATCAGTCTATCAATGTCAACGAGAAAGAAAGAGAGAAAGGAAAGAAGAGAGGGGGGGAGGAATAAAAAATAAAAATAAAAATAGAATAAAATAAAAAAGGTAAGAAAAGAAGAAGTGGAATTTGTGCGCTGTCTCAGACTGCAGACTGCTTGTATAGCAGGTTTGGGTCCCAATTTTCCAGTGTCAACAAAAAAAACCTTTCAATCCAAAAAGGAAGCTTCATTCGTTTCGTGGAACAGAAGTTGAATGTGGATATGCTGCCTAATAATTTAATCTGCAAACGCAATGAACATTACCATGGTTGTGGTGTTGTTTTTTTTTAAACCAACCCAAACTCACCACCAGGTCGGTCCTAATCCTCCTCCATGCGTTCTCCCCGCGGGGCAGCTCGCTTGTTGGATCTCGTCAACCAGTTTAAACTAGCACCAGGCAACCACCGCCTAAGCGTTAATCGTGCAGATGCGATTGGAGGCAGAGAGGGACAAGCTCCAGCGAGAATCGGAAGAATCATATTGAACTTCCCTCTCTACCTCAAAATGCCTGATATTTCTGCCAATTTTGAGAGCAGCTGTGCATCCCGAAGCAAGTGAATTAACCTAAAATGGCACTGCTGCCTGCCATCGCCTGATTGACCTTTGTCCTCCCTGATATTTCGAACGGGAAGTAAACTCAATTCAAAAGGAGCTTCAGGTCCGTGATTTTATCAACTTCTTTTCTGTTTTCCACCAGCAACAAGAAACAACCCATTGATTCTTCACAGGAAATTATTGTTCTACATTGTCTTTGCTTGAAATTTTCGGAATCCAATTCATCTATCCATCTTGTAACTTTTCCTATTACTATTCGCTCTTTTCCCCTTGAACCCAAGCTCTTCTCTCAACCATGGAGCTTCCATCCATCCCTGTTCTCCTGAACGACTTCGTTCCCTATCTGGATAAACACAACCGTCACGAGATCCTCACTGGCGAGGCGATGGCCCCCTTCAAATCTTACGAATCTAAGCTCCGTGAAATATTCGCTCAGGAGCCTAACCATATAGCAATTGCGAACCCTCAAGTCAATGTTGTGCCGCTCTACATTCAGTCCAATGTGGATGTCAAGGTGAAGGCGCGGGACCTTGCCGAAGAAAGTCCCGCGGATGCTGAAAAATATATCCTTCCCCTAACGGCCGAAGTGCGGAAAAAAGATTCCACCCCTGCCGTAGTTCCCGCTTTCGATCAGTTTCTCGAGAACTTCAGGATCTTTTCAGAATCGTCTCTGGTGGATATGGACTGGAGCAATGTTGTCGTTGCCGGAAGTGCGGTGACTACGTGCCTGTTACCTGTTCCTGACAAGTTCCGCATGTCACGCAAGGCGCAGAGGCAAGTTGCTACAATATTCTATCTGCATGGTACTTGTTACTTGTGTTCGATCCATTGTTCTAACTACTTTACAGAGAATATTATCACGAGAAGATCGCCCCCTCCTCAGACGTCGACCTGTTTCTTTACGGTCTTGACGAAGAGCAGGCGATTGAGAAGATCAAACAGATTGAGAAATGCATCCGCAACAGTATTTTGGAGGAAGTCAGCGTATGTCTATCCCATTAGATCTCTACAGCCTTGGATAAATTGGCTGAGAAAGTAACAACGGCCGAAAACAGGTTATCCGAACCAGAAATGCCCTTACTATTGTTTCGAAATATCCTACTCGCCACATTCAGATAGTGCTCAGGCTCTATAAAAGCGTCTCGGAAATCTTGACTGGCTTTGATGTCGATTGTGCTTGTACTGCATTCGATGGCCGTCAAGTTTGGGCTAGCCCCCGGGCAATTGCCGCTTTTGCTACTCAGACTAATTCCATCGATCTTACCCGCCGTTCGCCTTCGTATGAAAACCGCCTCGCCAAATATGCCCATCGTGGATTCGAAGTGTATTGGCCTGCTTTAGACCGTTCAAGGTTGGATCCCACGATATTCGAAAGAAGCTTTAACCACGTCGTTGGCCTTGCACGGCTCATGGTTATGGAGAAGCTCCCTACTCAAAGCAGCAGAGAAGATTACATTGAGCAGCGCCGTGAGGAACGGGGCAGAGCTCAGAATCATCACAGGGTTTATTATCGCAACAGGGCGAATCTGAAAGAAGTACAACCCGAAGATGTTGCCGAATGGGTGGAACAGGAAGATGTTTCTAACTATCATACGTTCACTATCCCGTATGGACCAAAGTACACGGCCAAGAAGGTAACTTTTTGACTCAGGATTGCGCTTTTATGTACAGGTGGCTGAATGCTAAATTTATCAACAGATCGAGAAACTAGTTTATAAAAAGGATCTGCTTTTGAACGCGGAATGGAACAAGCCAAAAGACCGAAAGGTGAATTTGCACAGACATCCTGCATTTTTCGGCAGCGTGCAGCATGTCATCGAAGATTGTTGCGGCTACTGCCCAGTTCCTGTTTCGGACGAGGAAAAGGCCGTTGCGGAGGAAGAGGGCAAGAAATATTTGTCAGGCAAAATCCAGTTTATGAAAAACGATCCGGGAAGACAAACCATCGGGAGCTTCAATCCTATTACTGATTCAGACTGGACTGAATTCGCATACATTGGTGACACTGAGAGCCTCTGCCGAGCTATTGTTGAGGGGGACCTTGCTCACGTAGAAAAGTGCTGTGCTCAGGAGGACTTCAACGTTGATAGGCGAGATTATACAGGACGAATGCCCCTTCATTTGGCGATCATGTGCGGAACACCTCGAATCGTACGATGCCTCATCAACCGTGGGGCGCGCCTTGTCAGTCGCGTTGCTGGCGGTTTTACCGCTCTTCACCTTGCTGCGGCTCGTGGAGATGTGGAAATCCTTCGGGCGATTCTGAGGAAGAGCGAAGCAAACCAGGTTGAATATCTGGAGAATTCTGGTACAAAATGGAGAAATGAGAACCACTCCGTTACTTCAAGTGAGGATGACGACCATAAAGAAGAAGATGATGACATTTCAGTGGTGAGAAGTGGCACAGAGTCTCCGTATGCTGTGTCGCAGGGGTCAATGATCATGATCACGGATCCATCAAATGCCCCTCCGGAAGAACATAATGAGGATGAAAACGAGCCTAACTTCTTCGATGATATTGGAGTTCTTTCCTGGGATATTCCGTTGGCCCCACTTCATGTGGCTATTTTATACGGCAATGTGGACATTATCACCAGCCTTACCACAGAGTTCGGCGCAAATGCGAGCCAACCTTTCGTCCGAAAGGACTACGGCAATTCTGATGTAACCTTTTCCATGATCCTTGCCATGCACCACCCGTTCGAACAATCCGCAAATCTGTTACGAGCCCTCCTCGAAACCGGCGCCTCTTCGACGCAAGCCAACAAGGACCATTTAACCGCGTTCCACTCTCTTGTACTGACCGGCCAGCCTCAGCATATAGATATTATATTCGACATCGACGGGCCGGCTGCCCAGCTTGCGATTGACCATCCGTGGATAAACACATATTGGCGCCCTCACTGTACCGTGCCTTTGAATACAGCAATTACATACAAGGGAGCCGGGATGATTGAGAAGCTATTGAAGAAAGGGGCAAGCATATCAGTGCCTAATGAGTATCAGCAGCGCATCTGGGCGCGCCGAAAATACGAGGACAAGAAGATCGAGCATTCTCTGCGTCACCCGATTATTCAAGCCGCTGAGTTTTCGAGCCCTGCCGTTGTCAGGCAACTTTTGGATGCTGGAGCTGATGCTAATGCAATGACCCTGGAGTCTCAGCGATTAGTTGGTAATGACCCATACAATGCAAATTATGGCAGGACAGTTCTGGACATCATTTGCGAGCGCCGAACGTGCCTGGGATCACTTTGTAAGCCTCCAGAAACGCCAATCACCATTTCCGAGTTCGAACCCGACGCTTTTTATTTAAACGGCCTGGTGGAAGGGACCTTCGAACATTCCTTTGCTCAGAACGAGCTTTCAATAGCAAAATTGACTTCAGAGGTCATTCAAGATAAATTGAATTCTACAGCGATTATCGAGTACAAAAAACAACTTGGTTTGAAGGTCGACTGGATTAAACGCGAAATCAAGGAGCTGGAGGAACTCGAGCAAGCCCTGAAAGATAAGGGTGGTAAATCGTTTGCGGAATTGCACCCAAACCACTCGCCATCCATACCTAAAATTCAAGAATTACCTAAGGCAACAGCGGTTTCGAAGAAATTTCAAGTCCTCTATACATTCACTGATATAGATGTAGGGGACTTGAAAGCGAAGAAGTATATTCCGCTGTATGTTCTTCCCTTTTCGCATCACGTTTTCCCCTCCACTCCCTACCTACCTGCTTCATTTACTTCCCATTCCTTTTTTCTTTTTTTCCTATATTATTTGCTTTCAACTACTAACTAGTTTTATTTAGGTTCCAAGCCGCCTGGGATGGTGATATCCAGAAGGTTAGACAGCTAACAACGGAGCAAACCACTACCAAGAAGTTGCGTTCTTCTCTCCGACTAACAGCTACACTGAAAGCACAAACCATGGACATATTCACCATTGCTGTAGCTCGTGGTCACTTTGAACTGGCTAAGTTCATACTGCAAGATGTTGACGCCCACCAATGCAAGCCGGATACCAAAATACCGACCCGTAAGGTCTACGAGGTTGTTATTGACAACGATAGTGACAATGATAGTTACAACTCTGACTCTGAGCCTGAAGACTGGGATAATGAAGGCGTAAGAGTCCATTTTGATATTGTTGAGGACCAGCAAACCATTGATGATGTCCGGGAGGCCGACGTCGGGAAATATAGTACCTCGGCGCTGTGCCTCCTCAACACGAGCCGAGATATGTCTATGTTCTTGGGCGATGAAAACGTGAATGTCATGAAGCGTGAGTATGGGAGCGTGGCCGATGTTTACATATCAAATTGGCGCCGGAATCAATCCGTAAGTAGATCCTTTTCAGCCTAGTTCTTGCCACTCCATATCGATATGTTATACTAATGTATCCCTCTACTGCGCTATAGGCCGCCCCGGTTGATATGGACCAGCTCAAAACAGATCACCGCATAGATTTGATGGATTTTGCCATTGGGCGAAACGATATGGCAATAGTCAAATTTTTGGTTGAGCAGAAAACGCACTACATGACCAACACCCCAGGAGAAGTCAACGGTATAGCTTCTCCTGAAGCCGCGCACAAATTTATCACTGTGTTGCCTGAGATACTGAACACGTGCATGAAGTATGGTCGCACTGAAATGTTGGGCTATCTTATGTCTAAGACTGGGCTTGGATTTCCGTTCCAGGCTCTGATGAAAGAGGCCGGCATCAAGGCCGAAATTGAACCCAAGGTATGTACATGTAGCTGAGAATAAGTATTAGCTAGAATATTTGAAGTTTTGCTAACAGCTAATCAAGTACTATCGAGGTTTATCTGTATATGGCAAGAAGCGGACCGATTGGGCGTCTGAGAACGGTTATCGTTCCCGTGACAAATTTTCTAATTCACACTCGTTACTCTTGCTCGCCATTAATGAGGGTAATCTTGATTCTGTCAAGTGGTTCCTTACCGACGAGCCCGAGAAGATATACAGGGAATTCCTCCACACCTATAAGGATGATCCACGTCTAGCTCCCCTCTTCAAAATAGAGGGAGGTATTGATGATATGCTGGCATCTTGGCTGGGTGCTCGACGTAAGTTGTGCTGTTCTAGTTGGCTTCGTCTTAAATGTGCACCACCAGTCTTGAACTAACGTTGGTTGTAGGAAATTTGGCTCTTCACTGCGCCATACTTGCCTCGCCATCTGAGGAATTCGGCACTTCTGTGGTTCAGTTTATCCTCGAAACATTCCCGGATTCGTTGCACACCAAAAATGACTCAGGTTTCACCCCTCTCCACTTAGCATTTGGTGGCCGGAGGATTATGGCTGCCAGGGTGCTTGTTGAAGCCGGGGCAGATCAAACTGCTCGAGATAACGATGGCCATAACATGCTTCATCACATCTTCGCATCCAATATTTCCACTGTCAGGGACTCCCCCAAACTTCTAAAGACATTGAGCGAGATCCTGGATCCCGAAATTATTCCAATCCTCGCGCAAAAGAGATCCCGTTTACAGACTGGAAGTGGCACCCGGGCCAGACTTGGTAGGCAGACACCATTATCACAATGGCTTTCACGCAGTGAAGGGACGGAAGTTTCCACTCTTAAAGCCATTCTGGACATCACAGGCGGAAAAGAGCTCTACGTCCTTAATGAGCAAGGGAACTACCCCATCCATGACGTTACTAAGGAGGGGAAGATTGAATTTGTCCAAGCGTTATTAGAGAGGGATCCTTGCATGGCCGTCTTGGAAAATGCTACAGGAACGACCCCATTAGAGGTCGCGGAGAACAAACTCATCTCTTACCTGATCCCCGCCTATTCTAATATAGAAAAGAAAATAAGCAGCTGCGCCGATATTCAGTTTGATTCTAACAGAATTGTCTCCGAGCTTTACCGTGATCTCTTCAACAGATGGCAGAGATATCCTTACGAGTTCGGCCCTTCTGAGATCTACCGTTCCAAGGGAGACAAACCAATCATCTCCATGGAGGACTGCACGGAAGGCAAAATCGTTCAATTGCTGCGGAACGCTGCCGCGAAACAGGGCAAGAAGAGGATCCTCGTCAGCCTGCAGGATGCGAACGAACTTGTGAGGCGTCTATCAGCTATTCACCAAACTACGGCTGCGGCTGCGGCTGCACAGCGCAGGAATCGAGATGGCGATTTCGATGATTATTCCCACGAACCCGATGGGGATGAGCATCGACAGAGCGACACTAATAAACAAGATGAAGTGAACCTGTGGCTACACAAGCTTTCGGGTGAGAATTTTGAGGTGGCAAAGATTCTGGAGGAAGAAAAAGCGGAATTGGAAGAAGTAAACAAAGAGAAGAAGTGAGGGGGGGGGGGAAGTGCACCTCAAGGAATGATGTGCATGAAGCTGACGAACCGATGGAAGATCCTACACAAAGATGGGGAAATGAAGAAGCTTGATAGGATGAGGTCGAAATAAGGGGCAAATGACGGTGCTCATATCCAACCAAGTTCACTAATTTTATTTTAGAATCTCCAATGTTTGAAATCTCTCTATACTATTTTGTACCTTTGCTACCTACCCCTTTATTGAGCCCTCCTCCGCTAGCACATTTCACAAGGTCCATGTACCCATCGGTACGGTACAGCCGATGAAAAAGGGAGGTCAAGTCGTCCAGCCCACATTATTTAATTGTACCGTGCCTCCGTCACCACAACTGGGTGGAATCAGCTGGATGGATGTCCGCCGCAAATATATATATATATATATTAATATTTTGAGCCCCCGTCCAGTAATACCCGAGTTAACGTCAAATATGGGCGGGCATACATAAATAGGGAGCGGGCGCGGCGGGTGCAAAGAGATCGTCACAAATTCCCCGAGCACCAACCATTAGGCCCTTCCCTAGTTATGTTTCTTTGATTGAGACGGCCGCTATGAAATTTCCATGATATTGGTAGTATATTATTAAACTCTCTCTTGACTATATTGATTTGGTTACTGCGGTCCTTCAAGCATCCGCTTTATACAAGAGGGAGGGGAGGGGGGGGAAGTGCTTGTGAAAAGTGATGTATGCAGGGATTCCCCTACAACGTGTATTTAAACTCTCAGGTATTATATTACAATTAATCATTTCTTCTCTCAAAACATATTAACTTGTGAAACTGCGCAAAATAAATAATAATACAAAATAGTAATGATCAGGAAGTGAGTGAGCAGAGTGAATAACTTCCCAGCTTTGAGCGCAAGTCTGTATTGTACTGTATTTCTAGAAAATAAATTACATCTGTAAATCCCAATCCATAGTTACTAATTATTATGCGCGTCACACTCATCAATAATAATAGTACGGAGGGTCACTAACTACTTTACCGGGGTACGTACACCTGCGTCTGCTCCGTATGAATGTGTGAAACTAATTTTCTTCAGGAGAAGACTTAGCAGGGTTGCATACATACCCTTCCCATTCTCATTCCATCCCATTCCTTGCAAGCGGAAAAAAAAGAGAGTTCAGGCACTACTACTGTGCACTGGTTTTCTCCTGAAGCGACCAAGGATGAAACATAATAAGTTTACCCAGGCAGGCTTGTGACAAGAACTATATAGTACAACTGATGCAGAGAAGAAACGATGTGGATATACATACATAGTAGAATAATATATAGATTTCAATATCAAAACCATCATCTATCGTAAAAATCACATACTCTGATGATCAAAGACATGAAGAAGGCACTTGATAAAAACAAAACACACGTGCACAAACAACTGTTGTATTGAAAAGCAGCAATATTTGCTCTGAATTGTTGCTACATTATTTAAATAATAATAATGATGATGATGATGGTTAATTATCCATGTGGAGTGGACATGATTATTATTATTATTATTACACACACACACACACATATGCCAAAAGATCCCTGTATTCATATTTCATCAAAGTTTCATTTCCTCGCTTGATTGATTTCATGATTCCTTTGCAGCGCTTGCCTTGCCGTCCATCACAACCTAAACGAATCGGGACTACGCAGCGTACTATTTAAAATATCAAACGGCGGATCAATCTTGCTTGGCTAATTTCCTGGTTTCAAGAGGATGCGCTTGGCTCCTCTTTTGAGAGTTATAAATAACTATGGCAATGATATCAATTTGTGTACGGAGTAGTTACGGAGGATAAGGCGAGCCGAAAACTGTTGCCAGCAGACAGTTTTAATTGAAAAGGATAAAAAACTTCATCTCTTTTTCAATAAAGATTGGAAAATGATAGAAATAAAACACTTATTTTAGAGGGTGTCATCTTCCGTAGGTAGCGTCGAGTTTGATGTTTAATTTTTCGCCACATTGCCACGCTGTCAATTCTTGACTCAGTCATGGAGTTGCTTTGATGAGGCTTCAGCCCTGTAACGAAACGTCTGGCACCTAACTTATCGCAGGGCCGGGTCGGTTGGGATAAACGGTTTTCTCTTTTTCTTTTCTTTTTTTTCATGTTTCCTATCTACCAGCTTTGCTATTAGATTCCCTCTGGAAGAGGTTCAAAGATGTTTAAAAAGAAAGAAAAAATCAAGGCCCCTTTGTTTTAAGGTACCCGCAGCAAGCAGATAAACAAGATTTTTGTCTTTCTCTACAAACCATGTTTCCCATCCAGAGGGGCCCTTGTGCTGCGCGGTATTCCCAGGGTTTATTTTGATTTTCCCTTTTCGCGAGTTTTCCCCTAGTTCCAGGAATTTGGTAGGGATAAATAATAGAAATTGTGGTTAAGGGGACTTTCCGCTGAGCTTAGCAGTGAGCTACTACTACACTATGGACGCGTTGATTATCATTCTTTGCATCTGTAGTAGTTATGTATGTATGTATGGCACGGTGCTGCTGGAGATGATGTGATGCTTGGACTGGTTTGATGTTGATATTCCATCCGTCTATTTTGTTCATTATTTCATTCATTAGAAGGCATCGGGGATTTCCTAGGCATTGTTAGTTAACCATGGCAGGGATGGGGATAGTGATTTGTGTATGGGTGATATTTGGGGGGGAGACTTGAGCCGCCGTCCTCTCAGACTCTGCCAGGTCATAATTAGTTACCCGATCCAGCCATCCCCTTCGACCTTCAATCCTCGCAACTCGCATCACTCAAGTCAGTCAGCAGCCAGTCACTCATCTCCTCTCCTACATTCGCTCTCTTGGTGTGCGCACACTCTCTTGTATTATTATTCTGCTCTTGTAGTTGGTGCTGTTGTTGTTGTTGTTGTTGCTGCTGCTGTTGTGGTGGTGTCGCTGTCTAGTAGTAGTAGTAGTAGTAGTAGTAGTAGTAGTGGTGGTGGTGGTCG